AACGTATTATGTGCTCATGACTAAAGTCTGCACACAGAAACATATTTCAAAGTTACGTAATTTTATTGCATCAAAAATTTTATTACATTTATCAATCTAAGGAACTATTTGCCTCTATTTCAGCTAAATAACTGTTCACAGATCCAGACAACTTTGCTGTTCTACTGAACTAGTCATCTTAGTTGTCGTCGTTAGAGGAGTAATGTTCACTAGCCATATTTAATGTGCATATTTAATGTCTCTTGTATGTTGCTAAAGGCTCTTGCCAACGATAGGAGTAATCTTGCTCTCCTTACCACGATGTACTTCGTGAGCTTGTTTTGATGTTACTGTCAGAGAAGTGAGATAAGTCACAATACACAACAACAAGGCGTTAGTTGTGTAACTAGTAGCACATCCAGCTAGAAACTGGTAAATCCACGGTTCGAATCTCGACGAGACTTAGTTACTTATCGCGTTTCTCGATTTAAAAAATCCTATAAAAATTTTCTACATGCCAAGAAATGCTGATCACTTCCAAAGAATTCCGTTTCAGGAGATTTCATCACAAGAGCTTTCAGTATGTTTTATTCAGACGGATGAGTAATAAATAGACAGGTGCCATTTAAATGACAATATAAAAGTTGATACTGAAATTAGCTGAAAGAATATAAGGTATTTTTCCCGCCTTCTTAGTATGACTTCGTGGTGTAGTGGTCAGCACACTAGGCGCGTATTCGAGAGGTCTATGGTTCGTGCCTCGGCGAGGGCATTTCTCATTTTTCACATCTCTTGCTTCAGAATAACCTAATGCCTCTACAAGAATAACAGGAACTAATGTAAATAAACTGAAATAAATCTTGTAAAAAATTTTTTGAATGAATCTCAGTTTTTAACCAATGGGAATTGCACAGACATTATCTGCAAGATGAATTGTTTTTTAGAGAGATTGTCAATCTAAAGAATTTTAAGGAAGTTTAGTATCAGAAAAAATTCAGAACTGAAATTAGAATGAATGCATTAGCGATTGAAACGACTTCAAGAAAGTTCCCAATTAAAAGAAATCTGGGTTTTTTAATAAATCTAACAAGTCAGCTAACAATACATGCAAGGCAAAAGATAATAACAATACGACGCAGAAAATGCTCACTCATATTTTCTAATGAATTTAAAATAAACAGGTTTCTATTTAGTCTAGAGACACTGAAGAATAATTCATATATGCATATTGTGCAAGCAAATCTAATCTTCAACTGGTCTCAAACATTTACACAGAAAGTGAATCCATGTACTCAAATCTATGACAACTCTTTGAAAATCTGGCTGTGCGCGAGGATGCATGGAAAATTTTTATGTTTTGAGCTCTACAACGTTTACCAGTGGCGGATTTTAATTTTAAGGCTGTATTTTGCACATTAACTGAAAACTATGTATCTCCTTCGAGGCATAATACAATAAATAGAAATTAAAAATGGATATTACACAATAAAACATGATTGTTTATCACTGGCTTAAAATAAAAATATAAAATATTATTTTAGAGAATACATTATTGCATTGTATTATAAGGTATTTTTCCCGTCTTGCTAGCGTGCCTTCGTGGTGTAGTGGTTCTGCACGCTGGGCCGGTATTCCAGAGGTCCGTGGTTCGATTCACGCAAAGCCGGTTGCTCATTTTTCATCTCTCCGGCTTTTCCAATTAACCTAATATCTCTACAGTATAATTAAATTATGTAGATAAAAATCATGTCAAAAATTCTTATTTCATGACATTTTTAAAGGGTTATTAGTCTTGAAACACGATTTTAAGTTGTTTCACTTTTCACTCGTTGTCATTCGGCAAAATGTAAGCTATTAGGTTAGATTTTAGAATTGTTTGTAATATATGCTCCAACATTGAAAAAATCATGTACCAATGTTCGAAACTTAAAAGTTCTCTTTTTGCACTATTGTACGAAATAAAATCGAGCATATATGAATGGAGCGTATGTTGAATGGAGCATATATTGGAGCATATATAATAAAATGGAGCATATATAGAAAACTGGTCACGTTATAACATGACCAGTTTTCAATTCTAATATTGATATTCAATCGTACTATGGGACATGCTTATATCTTCGTTATATACTGCTCAAATGTAGTTATGGGAGTGACAGAAGTTTCTACTGTCGGTATATTCTCTTATCAGTCACGATGATGATACCATGATAAATTGATAACAAAAGTTTCTCTATATTTCAATTTAAAGTTTATATTTCAATTTAAATTTACAACCGTTACTTGCAGTTATTATGCTTACATAATAGTAACTAAAACATTTTCTTTAGCATTTCTGAAGCTACCAGTTTGAGATGAGTATGATGACTATTATTTCTAAAACAAAGAACATGTTTTTGTGCTCATGTAAGCAGTATTAAATTTATTCTCAAAGGATCTCTCTCACAAAACAGTTTCTGTGCAAGTGAATACTCTAATCTATAGGAAACTGTCCCAGTTATTTAAGAATATACTGAATATTAATCCTGTGCACATTTAATCTCTTTTAAATTTTATATTCTTGGTATTAAAACTCTCCCTTACAGTACAGATATTATGCATGATAACAAAAATTCTAACATTTGAATAATCTGCTTGAAATGTGTCCTGATTGTTTAAGAATATGCTGAATGCTTTTATTACACACTTTTAATTATTAATAAATTTTAAATATTTAGTATTAAAGATCATCCTCTCAAGAAAGCTATAAAACAAGTTAATAGAAAATTTTATGCAATTAGTCTGCAGGAAATCTGTCTTAACTCTTTAAGATAATATTAAATGCCATTCTCGTCGTTCATAAATCAGTATTAAATTTTATATTCTTAGAATTTAAAAAGGTCTACTTAACAAGAAATATAACCTATAAGTTAACAGTATTCTAAAGTATGAGAAGCTGAACTAATTGTACCAATCATTTAAGAACATACATCATAAGGTACTTTTCCCGCCTTCTTAACGTGCCTTCATTGTGTAGTGGTCTGCACGCTAGGCGCGTATTCCAGAATTCCGCGGTTCTATTCCCCGCGAAGGCGTTGCATATTTTTCATCTTGCCGGCTTCCTAAGCAAAACCTACAGTGGCCCTCGAACTAAAAGGGTGATGGATAATGATTTTCCTCACCCAGGATTTGGCGATTGTATCCCCTAAAAACCCCAGTCGCCCTTTAAAAGGGGTAGTATATAAAGTATTCCCCCCACCTTCTTGGCATGCATTCGTGGTGTGCTGGTCTGCAAGCTGGGCGCGTATTCCAGAGGACCGCGGTTCGATTCCCTGCGAAGGCGTTGCAAATTTTTCATCTTGCCTGCTTCCAAAAAAATACCTAATGTCTCTACAACTGAATTGTGTTCTTCTGCTCATATGATCGGTGGCTCACCAGCAGTCAAACGGCAAAGTCGCTGAACGCTGGTAGTTCGGTCCGAGGTTCGAATTCACGCCAACTAACTGGCTGCATGAGCGTTTCCACGGTTTTCCTCATGTATAACGTATATACGAGAGAGTTTGCCTTAAGAAGTCCTCCACAGAGGCATCCCTCTCCTTAGGCAGATAGCCTTCGAGGCTTTGCCGTAATTAAATAAACCAAACCGAACTTTAGGCAGTTAGCCCTTGTGTGCTTTGCCTTAATAAACCAAACCAGACCAATCATTTAATCAGCGTTTAAAGTCTTAGTATTAAAACAAGCATTTCTAGAATGTGCTGAATTCTGTTCTTGCAATAATTTAAACAGTATTAAATTTTATATTCTTGGTAATAAAGGCCCGTTCTCGTAAGGAAGGTGTACAATGTAAGCTAACAACAACCTAGATGGCAGAATATTTGCCCGAAATATTTAACATTATTTTGGGATTGAAAAGAAACTCCAATGCGAAACTCAGAATAAGGCAAAACAGCAACCTTATTATGGTGCAACTTTTAAATAGAAATGAGGTTTTTCCTTATTTTAAATATTTTAGTATATCATGTGTAATGTAAGAAATCTGATATCCATAAAATCCTTTTCCTATCAGTTTAATAAGCAAATCTAAAACATGCTTGACTGCTTTAGAGATGAAAGGAAGCAATTGAAAAGCTGATTTCTTTAATTGGTTCCAAGCGCATTCATCCATTTGCTTTAAAACAAGGTAAAGATTGATTCTTCAGAGCATAGCGTATTTATCTATTCCTAAGGAAATAAGTCTGCTGCTTGGGCGATTTGCGCCAGTGGGCAAGACGAAGGGAGCTGTCAACTGTGATGAGTGATTTTCGGACAAAAAGTTGGTCACGATGTCATGCGAATGGTGTTCATTCTCAGAGGATATATTAAGTTGGAACGAATTTCTTGAATCCAAAAACCTTATCGCAGATTCTTTTTTTTTTCTTGGTTTTATTTTGTAGATAGCATTAATTTATTTTTTATTGGAAAAATTTGCTGACTGAGCTTACGATGTTTGTAAGGGAAATAGAACTAGCTCTTTAGGAAATCGCCTGGAATAGGTTAACAAAACAAAATAGAGGAATTTAATTGCCTTTTTTTTCGAGATCTCTAAAAATATATTTCCAACCCTCTTAATATTGTATCCTTAGTTTAAAAAATAATCGAAATAATAATAAGAATAGTTTAAGTATAGAAATAATAATAAGAATAGTTTAAGTATAGAAATAATAATAAGAATAGTTTAAGAAATAGTTTAAAGAAGACAGCAGTATGCTGCCAATAAGTTTTTGAAAGTAAAAACTCCCAGTGACTGCATTTAACTGATGAAGACTAATACCTAAAGCGTAACTAGTCTGCTCAAATTAAAGATTACAGGCTGAATTCTTCAAACTTCAGAAAGTTTTATTTGGGTTTCTTTTTGCTATTCTATGGGGTCGATGATAATAATCATGGTGCCGTGATGAAAAGGATAAGCTTAAAATCATAGCTATTTTTTTGTTTTCTGAAATAATGAATTAAAAATTTCAGTTAAAATAACTTTTTTGCAAAATTATTGTTTTATCTTTCAGAGACTGTCTTTATGCTTAGCTGACGAATGGAAATTATGATTTTGTCTAGTGCATAGTTTACCAACAAGAGGTCACTGCCTACCTGTGTACCCTGAAGAGATATAGGGAAGCATTACTTGTCCGAGGAGTAGGAAGAAGGCATTAGGAAACAAGTAGAGAGTAAGAACATGCTTAGAATATTTGGTTGCCTACACAAGCCTTGAGGTGGGGAAGTTTAAATGTTCACTTGATTGTACAACTATTACAACTATGCATCTTTACAAGAATTATACAAAATTACTCCTTCCTGGCCTGTTATACCATTTATTGGTACAAATTGCATGTAGTTCCATTTATCTCTTTCTACTGATTGAAATTTACAAATCAATCTATTAAAGCATGACCACAATTATTTATCTGTAGTACGCCTAAGTAGAATGTTCTTTCTCTATAAAGTGCTGTGCAGTCTGCGATACAATTTGTTCATATTTTGCAAGTTCATTTTGTAAGCTGAACCTGAAGAATCTTTATACGTTACTATTCTACTGACGTACAGTGAGATAATTTTAATTAATAATTTAATGTAAAGTAGATGAAAAATGTACTCACTCTGTTTATGCTTTTCATTCGGTACCCGTAGATAGATTCAAAAGACCTTTAATGTATCGTTGTTGCAGCAGTAGAGGAGGATACAGTAGAGGCTTTATCAGGGCTTTAGGTAGGGCTACTGCCAAGAGTGCTTCACCGAAAAAATATAATTAAGAATTTTTGGGAACACCAAACACCACATTTTGTGAAACGTTTTTGTCATGATTTAGCTACTTTTGGATTATAGGGTAGGAGGTCAAAACATTTTTACCCCATTTCTGCCATTTTGTGGACGTCGAAACATTCTGTATTGGGAGCCAAATGCAAGTAAACCTCGCCTTGAGGGCCCTGAAAACATTTGAAGAGAATATTGAATAAAATAAACATTGAAAATGCAGGACTGAGCTGAAAATGATTGGGAAACTATAACCTAGTGAACATTTCCAATTAAATTGAAGCAGCACACTAAAAGTAATATAATAATTTTAATTGTAGTGTTTCAGTTCCGTTTTCAAACAGTGTATGGAAAAATAAAAATATCATGTAAGGTTAAGGTACAAAATATTTATGTTTAGCTAATGTAAAATAGTAGTGCATTGTGGTGACGATTTAAATAAAATAGTTGTTTCAAAGTTAGTCAAGTCTTGAAACATTAGTCAGCATTTTAACTAACTATCCCTTCTCTATTATTTTAGAAACCTGAAAATAAATAGAAGCAGAAACAATATTACTACAGAAATACACAAGAGAAACACTGCAGCCAATAGGTGTTTCAATCTTATACGAAAATAAATGAAATCAAGCGTAATTCAAAGAAAACAAAGGTTTTACTTTCACTGTTTTATGCATGTGAAACTTGGACCGTGACGCTCACGAATGAGGATATGTTGAGCATTTTGGGGAGGATGGTTTTACGAAGTATATTTGGAGGAATACGAAGAGATAGTGTGTAGCTTAGAAGATCAAATTCGAAGTTATATCCCTCATATAATGAACCTTCTTTTTTTACTCATACTACTAAAGCATGAGTAAAGCGAGTTGATCTTGCCTCTTTTTTTTTAGCTCACATTTTGCAAGCCCACATCTTGTTTAACCTAGCTATAAATAATTACAATTTTTAAAGCTATATTAGACCTCACCTTAGCATGTTTTATGAAATGTAAAAGCATATGATTTTTGCAAATGTAGTTTGCAGGAATTCAGATCAAATTAAAAAGAACAAAACCGGCGAAAAATGTTAGGGGAATATAGTTAGAAGTGGGACATATATAAATCCTGCACTGACCCGAAATCAAAATGACCTTGCTTATAAGAAGACCCATTTTTCTTCCGGAGAGGGAGAGAAGAATCATTGAAATTAGATATCACCAACGAAAGTGATTCTCCCTTTCTCTGCTTCCCCCCGGGCTTGATCCCGGCGTTCCGTCTAGGTCAGTACCTATACAGACTGGACTTATGAGGAAAAATTAACAGTCTTCACAGTGACTAGAACCATCGTTTATTCGGTGGCAGGTTCAAGCTCGACAGGGGCCGTATTGGTACAGTCGTGTCTGTTTCTTAGTTATGGGGACGGTACATGATTAGATTTCGAAAGTTGTCCTTGGTGTTTAGCTCTTTTTGGTAACACTGGGGAACGTTTGATGTTTAACATGCGTTCTATGTTTTTCCGGTGGATTCGTTGTAATCCACCATTATCTTTGCGTTACAAAACCCAGACTTTGTGAAATTGAAACTGTCCCCCTGAGTTGACCTGGGGCCTATGCCTTCTTGAAACGCCTCTAGAGCTTGCAGCGATTAACCGTGTGAGGCAACCTGGAGCAAGTCAAGTCTGGGTGCCCCTTCCTCTTAGTGCACTGACCCTTTCTTTGGTGATATAGTGTCCAATACAAAGTGAAACTACACTTTCATTGAAATATTCTTTTTTTAACATTTTATAATATAAAATCATAGTATTAAATACATGAATTGTTGGTGTTGAATTTATCTAGCTATAATGTTTGCTGCTACAGTTGTTAAATAAAGGAGAAATTTTTGACAATTATTGAAGAATTGAGAAATATCTTGAAAAGAATATTAAACGAAGTTTCTGATCGCACAGCTGTACTTTTCAGTCTCTCTATGTATAATTTGTCTAAATCGTATCGCTTTATCTTTTTTTAATATTTTACAGTTTGTAATTTCTTTTAAAATGTACTTGTTATCCTTTTTCAATAAATTTGTAAGCTCTGTTACGAACATCATTTTAAACAATTTGATTGTTCTGAAATTTATTTAAAATGATTATGATAAAATTCTATTTTATTCCGAATTCTAATTTATTTTGATTTCAAATACTGTTATTTTTTCTGACTCTCTTTCAGCCATTCGAACAATTTCTGCATATAATATCGCGGAATCAAAAACGCTGCTGAATTTTGTAAAAGAACTCTTCATCTTCTAGCCTCAAAAGGGATGACTGTTGACGTACAGTGGATCCTGGGTCACGTTTGAATAACTGGTAATGAGTGGGCTGGTAAACTAGGTAAAAAAGGAACTGAAATTTTGAAATCAAATAATAACATAATACCATTTATATGAACGAAAAGAATAGTGACAAACACCCTGAAGAAAAAATGTTTAAGTTAGAAGAAATTAAGAAGTGAAGGGATTTGATTTGTAATATCCCAGACTCTCCCAGATCCATCGCAGTTTCGGCGTTTTATTTGAAGACCGGACATGATTCTCTCGCTAAACATCTGCGCCGTATTACTATATATGACAGTCTCTCGTGTACTTTGTGCAACCAGAATTTTGAGATCGACAGAGATAATTTGCTAACATGTCCTCTTTGAAGAAAGAAAACCTATGCTGTCGATATTGACGGGTTAAGGTGTTGACACAATTGACATCCAGAGACTAATTTGTTATTATTATTATTATTATTAATGCTTAATACAGTCACTTGTTATACCATTTCCTAGTAGTTGTTGTTATCGTTTGATGTAGTTATTGTTATTGTAATGAGGTTAATTACCGTTTTGTCTTTTTTGTATTTCTATTTTTGTATTTTTTGCATGCTCCAATCTCATGCATCTTTGATGCATGTGGGCCAATGATGTATAATCAAGTGCCTTTGCAATAAAAATAAATAAATAAATAAATTAGTTTCTTTGTTATTATTATTAGCCTAAATTTGAAGGGCAGATTGTTTGAAAGTATTATATGATCTCTAATTCAGAACTATTTCTTTGTTCATTTAAGTAACTTTCATAACCCCTAGTAATACTAATCAGCATTTTCATGTGATCTTTAAAACTTTAATAATATTATGGGCAATGTTCTATGTATATGAACATTTAGGCCTATTTGATTTCATTCATATTATCAAATTTGGAGCTCCATGTCTATAATCAATCATTCTAAAGATGCTTCATTGATCAGTATTTTTGAAAATTCTGCATGCAAGTTTCATTTGTATATTACAACACAAAGATTTGGAGAATGTAGAAAAATAAAGAAAAGTGTCTTAAGTAATCTTTTACACATTATTTTATTAAAATCTTCTTATCAGCAAAATTTTCTTACTCATCATATGTACATGTTCTGTTTTAGTCTGTTAAATACATACATTTTACGGATTCTGTACATGTTTTTGTTTCGTTACTGTTTGATTCAGAAATCGAAAAAGAAAACGAACAAAGAAAATTTCTCATCCATATTTTATACAAATACAAAACATGATACAATTTATAATTTTGATCTAATAAATTAAATCACAAAATAATACATTTTACAACACATTGACTGCAACTGGCAAAATGATATTCATAGGAAATGTTCTCTCACACAAATATAGGCCTACTAAACTGTCTTAAGTTATATTCCATATTAAAGGGGATCATGAGACAGAATGCAGATAGCATTACAAACTGGAAGCAGCTCAAACTGATTGTGCTTCTTGATAAAAATTCTACATGGTAGAATATCTGTTAAGAATTATATCGCAATTTGAAATAAAAAACAAAAAGGTAGTCAAACAATATGCTTAGTTACGTGAAAAATGTGTCCCGATCTGTGTCAGTATCATGGGCAAGATTGAAAATTAACATTATTTTGATTATACAGAATACGTACGGTAGTATTAAATCAGAAGATACGAGAATATTACTGGAAGGATGCAGGAATAGAAGGCAGAAGATTGTCGCCTTTAATATATACATGAAAATTTAACTCTCAGTTAAATAACCTCCATTTGATTTTCATAGCTTATCTTTAACATATTAATAATTAATAAAAGATGAATGTTATTTAATATCTAGCAAGTATTCTGCTCTATAGGTTTTAATTTGGGAAATTTTGGGTACAGTAAAATTGTTATTGTTAACTGGCCTAAAATAATGCCCTGACCAAGTTGAAAAATTATGTCAAAATAATAACTTTACAATAAAGAATAATGGGATAATAAAGATTTGAATAAAGTAAAATATAAACAGGCTGGAAGTTTAGTATGTGATGCCAATTTTCGAAAGTTGTTTTTAAAGTACATTGATCCTAATTCTATTATGTTAAAAAGTGAAACAATTGTAGCCTAAAATAATGCCCCGAAACTTATGAAAAGTTATTTCAGAATAATAACAATGCAAGGAAAATCAAAATCTGAATTAAGAAATTTATAAATAGTGCGCATGTGATAGCAAAAATGGCATTGTGCAGTTAACAAAATCTATTTTTAATGCGTAATTCTAAAAATTCTGATATGTTTATAAGCATTACGTTGATGTGTATAATATTGCATTACAATATACTTTTATTACTGAAATCTGAAGTACTTTAGTGATGATTAAAGTAAAATAATTTTCAATACATTTAAATTAAACAAAGCTTTTGTATGTTGATTTATAAATATGTAATGTAAGTGCTGCATTTGGACATATTACAATGATTTAAAACACTGATTATCAATGTTTTCGTAACAGAAATTTCGAAAGAATTTTTAATATTGCTTTACATATTCTTTGGTCAATTATAAATTTTTTTAGTGACGCTGCTATCCTGTGTCAGATGTCAGTTTGTCTGCATTTCTTATTTCTGATATACACTATGTCCGATTACTTTGACTAAAATGATTATATTCGCCACACGAGTTTTTCAAAGTATAATCTTAAATATTGACATTAAGAATAAAGGGAATTCCAGAGACATTTAATTTTAAACTTCTTTTTCCTGAAAGAAATGAATTTGCGTATTTTTGTGCCTACGCACTACTTGAGCACCAAGACAATCCCACTGGACGAAAGCTCTTCATAGACTTATCCATAATAGATTTAAAAGAAATCCTATTTTTAACAGTTAAATATGTAAATGAGTATAACTTACTGATGCTGAATATATGTAGGATTTATGAGACAACATGAAATTTTTCAGCAAGATAAATGACAAAAAATATTCATATCTTTTCATTAAAGATTTGAAAGTGTTAGTTATATCACCCAACTTGGATAGTGGTCAGTGACTTTGACTGCTGTGCCGAAGAGCTCGATTTTGAATCCTGGAGAAGGTATGGATGATTGTAAACGTATAGTGCCTTTGCGGTATGGAATCACTCTAAATATACCTCAAGCCGAAAGTCCTCTCGAAAGGTTAATGGTAGGGGAAGAGGAGTGGGAGATCCTCGGATCCGTCCTTCCTGGGTGCTCTCCATCAAAACTGGGGGGGGGGGCGGAACTGAGCAAAGTCACACTGTCACCTGCATTGTGCTCAAGGCTCTTGCCAACGACAAGTGCAATTTTGCACTCTTTTCTGAATTGCCGCGATGAATTTCTTGGATTTGTTCTGATGTTACTCTCAGATAGTTAAGTAACAACAACTACAAAAGTGTCAGTTATAATATCCGTACTACAGCTTAGATCAACAAAATATTTTTACTATCAGTATATATTTTTTGCAGAAAATGAAGTTTTTATAAGCAGCAAAAGAACAATTATTCAAAAATAATGCTCGGTAGGAAAGTTCCGAAAACGTTTAGAAATAAGTGCGAAAAGTGTTGTAAAATTCAATATCCGAAGTTATTTTGACAAAAATACGTTTAACATTGCTGGACAACGAAATCCATCTAAAGATTGTAGCACCTTTTTTATATACGATAGCGGTTAAAGAGAATTAATTAATTTAAAATAACCTGTATGGAGTTCGAATATTGCTAGCCTGCTTTGCGGCATTCAATTCTTTTCTTTCCCAATTCAATTCCTAAAATTATATTCTTTCAACTCTAATATTGATTTTGTTTCGTAACTTCAAGCAAATTTCACTTTAATATAAACCAAGAACTAGATTAACTTAATTCTAAAATTATGCTTTAGCAAAGGAAAATTAATTATTGACATTTAGTGAATAAATTACAAATTTTAATTAGAAATTTTAATTCAAAGTTAGTACCATATTTACTTGAAAAAAGACTCGCATTAAAGTACATAAAAGACACGTTATTTTCTTTGGGTTGAAATTTAATTTCTAAGCTATTAAAACAGACGTTCAAAGTCACAATGCTGTGTAATACCCGTGAAACAAACTTTAATTTATGAGAGCCCTACAACATTATACATAAATGGCAATGATAATGTATAATTGAAACTGAAATTTTCATTAGTAGGCAGAGCGTACAGAGCCACATCAATATTAGTAGATAAGAGAAGGTTAAAATTATATTCTATTTCTTGATTTAATTAAACTGAGAAGTTCATTTCTTTAGTGTTGAAATTCTCAAAATTCACAAAATTTCTTTTTATATTTAAATACTATGAATATTTATATGCATGACGTTAATTCCAGATACATTTTGAAAATGACATTGCAGACTTTGCTGGCATAAAAAAATATTCCTGCTTTGCGGCATCAACTTCTCGATGTAACGCTCTGTAAAAGTAATTAGATAATCAATGAAAATTTCAATCAAAATATATATATATCAAATTGAATTAACAGTTAAATTTTGGACTGTTTTACCTTTGTAACTAAATAGCATTTTCATCGTTATTAGAAAAATTCGAAATCAAGTAATATTTTTAATAACAATGATAAGACAATGATAAATTGTGTCTGAAGTTGTGGCTAGAAAGCTGTATTTCGCTTTTATTCAATCATTGTAATTGTTTTGGGTAGTTCGTGAAATAAAGCATATTAAAAATATTAAACTTTAAAATCAATTTGAGTATGTTTCTATGATGTTTAGCGGATATCATAAAAATGTTTTAAAATAGTTTAAATCATTCACATATGCATTTAATGTACAAGTTTAGTTCTTATGTATGTATGTATCTCGTATAACTCGAAAATGATTAGCCGTAGAACGTTGAAATTTTGTATAGGGGATTAGTGTAACATTAAGTTGTGCACTTTTCTTTTTTATTGCAAACCGACAGTACCAAGCATATATATATATATATATATGGTCGTATTCGTTGGCCGTATTCATATACATCCAATTACACAAATACTTTAAATGAAAAAAATATTCATGTTTTGCAATGTCAAATTAAAAAAAAATAATAAATTTCGACAAATAATGAAATCTATCTTTTAAAGCGATCTCCCGCCTCCTATACTAATGTTTGGAAAAAATTTTATACTTGTTATGAAAAAATAAAATTATAAGAAGTGTGAAACCCGTATAATAAAAATTGAAGGGGATATTTAATTTCAAAATTTGCAATTTTTGATGTCATTTTCAACTTGCCTCGAGAGCTCAGATAATTACGTTGGACTAATTTGAGGTAATAAATTTAAATGAAGTGCAGCCAAAAAAAAAAAGTGTATAATTTAATAGGCCGTAAATTTAATAGTTTCCACATTAGCTTTTTTAATTCTGCTGACATGAAACTTGAAATATAGGGACTATTAATAATGTGATTGTTTTATTACGTTTTACAGTTTATTTGATGAATATTTCTATTGCACTGCTTCTTTTTAATCAGGCAAAATTTTCGATTTATCAAATTTCAAACATGGCTTTCGAAAATAAGAATATATTTTTATAATTTAAGCAAATGCTGTCTGCATTCTGTCTCATACACAACATCACGCATCGTATTCAGTTATATCACCCTGAGTTGTATCTACTCAAACTTCGGTGAGAAACGTGATATCTAATTCTTGCTAAAATGCCTAAATGAGGGGGCAATACGGTGTCCCTTTCCTTAAATCCAGACACTACACATATTTTATTTACGAAAACACATCACTGGGAATGTCTCACAATTGCTCCATAATTCATTAATTGCAAATGAATTCATAAATGTACAGAGAATGCTCCATAAATATATAACTGTACAATCACTATACAGCAGCGGCATGTGCTATTTATTAAATAAATACATACACTGTACACATTTTTTAGATACACTTCTAATGCCGCTAAGCTAAATACATAAACATATACAGTCAGTGCCAGTCAGTTTCTTCTTCTTCAATGGTTATTAACAATCTGATTGCAAAATTCAAAAAAGAAATTCGGAGACGATGCTGATAAGTTAGTTCTGGACATGGTTCATGGACGTTATATCAGGAGTAATTCGGTTTTGTGGATCACTGGGAATCACTAAAGAACAGCAATTATTTTTTGATGGAAGGAAGATGGCTTCTTTATACCCTGCTAATGCAATTGCTAGACGCATGTGCAAAAAATGCGGAAGATTTTTAGTAAAAAATAAAGTACCTCATATTTATTCAAAAACAGTACTTTTTATGTCATGAATTGATGCACTATAAAAAAGTATGAGTTGTCTCAATTAAAAAAAAACATTATGAGAGTAGATTCCAGTGTTATCGATTCATTTTATTGTTTCCAAAATTATAGTTCTTTCAACTCTAATATTGATTTTGTTTCGTAACTTCGAGCAAATTTCACTTTAATATAAACCAAGAACTAGATTAACTTAATTCTAAAATTATGCTTTAGCAAAGGAAAATTAATTATTGACATTTAGTGAATAAATTGCAAATTTTAATTAGAAATTTTAATTCAAAGTTAGTACCATATTTACTTGAAAAAAGACCACTTCGAATATACGATCCTCCTTACATTTTAGAATGAATTTAAAGAAACAAAAATGTAGATACATATTTTATTTTGTTCTGAAGTAATTTTGAGAAAGATAATCTAATTTTTTTTTATCTCCAAAATTCTCTTGAAATAACAGCTCTCTTAAAGGAGAACCAAAGATAATTTAATGACGTTTTGCTACTGATTTTCTTATTTATCAATTTACCAGATACAGATCTAGATTGAAATTGCTTTGTCAGACGTAGCTAATATAATTAAAGTTAGTTAAGCAGTTTATACATACGGCTATTAATTGTATAATTTATTTTGCATTAAACAATGTAATTATTCTATATAGTACCGTTTAAACTCCTTTCTTTTATTCTGTAATCTCATTTATCAACAAATCCGTTAGTTAAACCCTACTAAATTTTAGCACAAAAATTTAGCAAAAAAAGAAGGTTTTTGGGAGCGTTCACACGATGTTTTACCATCATTATTGTTATAGACTGAAGGCTTAAAAGTCGTTCACACCTGTTGAGCAAGGAAAAGGATTTAAGCCGTATCTTGTCGAAGAATGTAAAACTGCGCATGCGGGGATGGGCAACTGAACAAAATCATCAGCTGATGCTCATGTTTGCTTCACTGTGACTGGTTGATTCTTCTATCAAGTTGGCATCAATCAAATTCATACACTTAGACAAAATTTTTATACCAGTGTGCATGAAGTTGCAAGGCCTGGTTGCCTTGCAACGAAGTTCAGCTTATGCCACTTGAGTCTCATTAAGTTCTCATGTGAGCGCTCCATTGTTTTCGATAAACACAGTATATCAAAAGGAACTGAAATGCTTTGTTTGCTCGATAAATTAGTTACTGGCATTTCTTTGATCGTTAAACAAAATATCCCTTCATTACATTAATTTTAAATTTATGGACATTTCTGAAAAGTACGAGAGAGAGTGATCACTTTTTTCGCTGAATTGTTTCTGCATTCACTCATTAAAATGCTGATAATGCATGAATGTAATTTAAAAATATCATCTCCTCTGATGTATTTTTCCCCTCGTTAGTGATGGTGGCAGCTTCATTTATATAAAAATGGTTAAAGTATAACTCATGAAGTAGTATACCAGTATTCAAGAAATATGTCCTCATTGTTATTGCAGTGGATCAAATGTCAAAAGTGCTCATTTTTAGGCTAAGCCCCCCCCCCCTTGAAAAACATCTCTTCCAGCAGAAATGTAATTACGCATCTCTCACACAGTTAAAAACTTAACCAATTTTATGTGTTTCTCGGATTTTTTTTGGGGAGGGATGAGAACTTTTTAAATATGCAATGTAAAATATATTTTTTTAGTCTCTTTAATCATTTAAGAAATTACTTATTGATAATTACTTATTCTCTTTTTTATTCACAAGTAATTTTATCTTAATAGTAAATGATACCCATAAAAATATGATTAAATCAAGAACCATTTATGAATTCTTTTATGTATCTTATTACTGAAGCCAATATCAATCATAGAAATTACATAATTTTTATATAGTTATTGTATCTGGTAGAGAGAAACATGCACATAAGATAGAAAACCGGGAACACAATTTTTTTTTTTAAAGCACTGAACTTCATTACAAAATTTAGAACATGAAACCAAAAGGCTTTTATATGTATATAAGCATTTTTTTGCTGTTATTTCTTTTTCTTTTTTTTAATTACCTATACTATTTTTGGTAAAAAAGCTTTCTTAAAACTACAGCATCTTTTCTAAAGAAAAGGTGAAAATTCATTTAAAACATAAATGAAAGATTAATTAAAATCAAATGAATCAAATGAAGTTTAACAGTAACTGCCAACATCACGTGTGTTTGAAAAATATTTTAAATTACAAGAAATATGAGATGGTTAAAATATCAAATTAGACACTTATAGGTAAAAAATATGAATGATTTATATGTATAAAAACAATAAGTCATAAGCACAATCTTAATATAAAATCTATTACATATTTTTAAAGTGTTAATTCGTTTCAAAGTCTGAATTCCCTCAAAATGAATCAAAGATTTAATAACAGTTCAATTTAATAAAACATTTTGAAATATAAAATCTTTAATCTATTAAATAATAATATAAAATCTTTAATCTTTAATCTAATCCTAATGAATTAGGATTAGATTAATTCAGATTTTGAACCTAATTTAATTCATTCTCATAAAATAATTTTTTTTTCACTAGAAAATTCTAATTAAACTCTTATTCTTTTAAAAGATTAACTCCTACTTTATGAAGTAAGTGTTATTTGATATTAATTTTAATTTCAGTTTCAAGTATCATGAATGGCAAAAGCCTGCTTGTGAATATATTTTACATACAAGAAACTGAGAGTTAAAATAAGGCCCAAAGTACTTGAAAAAAACTATAACTACCGCGATATTAAAATATTGAAATTCAGTAAATGGAATTATTTTTATTTGTTTAAATAAAACATGGAATTAAAATCTTGATTTCAAGATGTAATATTAGTTTATAACTTTAAATTATTTTTATTAACAAAGTTTCATTTACTATAATTAGAGAGCAAACGATATTATGAACTAAAAAAATTCTTTAATTGATCTCGTTTTCAAAACAAACTTTTAAAATTTTGAATATTTAAAAAAAATTAAATATTTAATTGAATACAATAATATGCATTTCTAAATTCATAAACATTTTTAAGCTGTTGATGTTTTAAGTCGTTAATTTTAATTCATATGCAAAATAATATGCTCAAAAAGGCTGAAATTTGCTCAAAGTTTCATTCAAAAGCAGAAATTTACATTTCTATTTAAGATTTCTATATTTTTCAGTATCAAGAATCAAAGGCAGATACATATTTTTCCCTTTTTTTACGTAAATATTAGATTTATTTTACCTTATACTGATGTAAATGTTAAAAAATTAAGGAAGTTTTCATGTCAAACCGTACTTGTGATTTGGTATAATGACAGAGTAAAATTTTGTTTCATACATTCCATTTCATATTTGTTATTATAAATACAAATTATCTTCAGTATATAAATGCTTGATAAATTTTTGTGAGAAGTTGTATGAATTGTTATGCAGATGATAAATTGTATAAATAGTGATGAAAATTGTATGTAAAAATAAAATTGGCTTAAATTGTTATTATCCACTAAGCATTACTTAAATATAATATTAAATGATAATTAATCCTGATAAAATGTTAAATTTAACTTTTACATTTTCGTCATTAATGAGGATTCAGTAACTGTAGGCTAATTAATCATTATGATTTGAGTTACAAAATGTATAAAATATGATATTTAGACTGTGCAATCAGGAAAAATTTTTCAAGCATAGTATTGACAATTTCGCCATAACTTCAGTTACGAGTTTCCTTAAACAACATGGCACTAAACAGCAGAAGAATGCGTAAGGAGTCATATACGCTTAATTCAAAATCAAAAACCATGATTTTCTTATTTATATCACAAGTTTAAACACCTTATATTGTTCACCTATTCTTTACCTGCAACTTTGTTCCACTATTTCTTTGTGTCCAGGTAACATTCGTAGATTAGGTGAACAGAAGCATTTCTATTCACATTCAACGTGGCAAGCAGTGGGACGATTATTTCAAGTGATTTGGCGTTGTTCTATGTCAGAAAGTGTTCTCTGGTACAACTAGCACGTATGAAACATGGAAGGAAGGGACAATGGAGAATGTTGCCCGAAATGCTGCAAATGGAATTTTTCTAATGGTGATATTTATGATGGTATGCATTGCAAAGTTCTACAAGTAGTCATCCTTGCAATGTATTGCTTATTGCCATTAGTGAATCGTAATAGGTGTGCTGCGTTGAATACGCTAGCAGCATCTCGAAAAGTGCCTTCCTTCTTGAGGTGCTTGGTGTGATAAACTTTACAGTAACTTTTTAAAGTCTACTGCATTGTCCATATTGCAAAAGTGTCAATATACAGTGGTAGAGTTTGGCATGCGAAGAGCGTATCACAGCTCTGTGAGGCCATATTCATCTTTGGGTTCAATAGGCGTGCTGCATGGCGGCATATGGGGTGTGTGAAGACCTCTGCCTTGGAGAGGGACGAGTGCTGGCTGTTGAGGCCTGTTGCTGCTGGTATTGCTACTGTTACTATTGTTAGCATTGCTTGCGCTGTTGGTATTTGGCTGTTGCTTTTTCTTAACGTTTTTCGTATTGGGAAGTTTGTTGTCTTTTTTCCACTTCATGCGCCGATTCTGAAACCAGATTTTTATTTGTCTTTCGGAGAGGCAGAGGGAGTGGGCGATCTCAATGCGCCTCCGCCTCGTCAAGTAACGATTGAAGTGGAACTCCTTCTCAAGTTCCAGAATCTGATGCCTTGTGTAAGCAGTCCTCTGTCGTTTCGGTTCGATACCTGGGAAGTTTCCATTCACTGAAAGCAAAGAAAGACAAATATGATTATCAGGCAGAACGAATAGTAATTGCAAACGTGAAATAGAAGAAACTGAATCAAATGAATAGCATCTTTTCAGAACTGAATCAGGAGAGAATACAACTCGCTGAAAGGACTTGCATTCATTCATGCGTGGAAGTTTAGATGTGAGTCTGATACTAAAAGATTTATTGTATGATTTTTATCTTTTAATTCTTGAAACAAACACATTCCTGCCTCTACCACAACTTCTATATATTGCGAGCATAATAGACTTCAGCAAATATTATTTAAATCCTTCGAATTCAATTCTTTAGGTTATTTATATATACTGCACTTGGAATTCTTATGTTCTTACGCTGAAGTAATAGTAATTTCTTATAAGTGGAATTGTTTAATGTCTATTGTGTAAATTATATATATCCAGTAACCTTAATTATTTACATTTAAAAATTTCAACATTTTAAGGAAACAATCATAAATATTGTATGTAATTATAGTTACAATTACACTAAAAGAATAACAATCATAATGCTTGCAAAAGCATTATAATTGTTATAAAGTTGTTTTTTAAGTTTTAATGCATTAAAAAACAACTTTTGTTTTTTTAATGCAGTTTTTAAACTGCTTTAAAAACATTTTTTTTTTAACTTTTATACAATTACTTCTTATCCGTCATAATTTCAATACAATATATATTAACCAAGCAGTTGTATCGTTAGTATAACAGTGAAAGAATTTCAAAGGAAATTTGGCTGCAAATAGTACAGGCAGAAACAAGTTGGAACTATTCTGTACGTTGCTGTATAAACTTTAAGAAACAATCCGAAAAAACAGATAAAATCATTGATTTTTAACATAAAATTAACTCAAAGCAAACAGTTTTCCTTAACTCTCATGGTTGAAAAACAAGTGAATTGCCTTATAAGTTTCATTAATCAGATAATTTGTATCAAAATGTATGTAAGAGCATTTAAAACTACTTACAATGAACGCATTTGTAGCTTATAAACAGGTTAAAAATTTCCGTCAAAACATTCTACTCTTGAGGAGAAAGAACTTATGTCAGATTGATATCCTCAAAAAAATTGATAAAATTGTATTTATATCCATGCTAATGTAAAGTTGCTTTTTTTTTTCCTGGATGGTAATGCAAATTTTACATTTTACATTGATGTGTTTATTTGCCAATTAGATGCCAATCTTATTTCAAGCAAAATTCTGAACTTCAGGTTTTGAGCCATATGTGCAATACCTAATTTAAATTTATACTCAATAAAAAACAAGATAATAGCGAACTATTATAATTTTAGTTTATTTTCGTAAGAATAAAACAATCATCATAATAAAAGAATTATATTATTCAGTATAACAACAATATTGTAATATTAAAAAAATAGTATACAATATAATAACAGCATGATATTCTCCATTTAACTACAATAGCAAATTTGTTATATATATAAGAAAATATCGGAAGCTCCTTAAACGAATTGACAGTACGACTTTTCGTTTTTGAAATGCTTACAAAAGTATCTCAAAATAAATTTCTTAAGGAAAAAGAGCTGTTAGAAATTACCTATTAGAAAGGAACAAATTACCTATTAGACCATTACCTACTAGAAAGACAATTTCTATTACCATTATTAAAGACCATTACCATTACCATTATTAGGCCATTACCCTTTATTACTCATCACCTATTAGAAAGGAATAAATAAGTAAAACAGTAATATTCATCTCATCTTCATTTAAATGTACATTTTTACGGCGGTTACATACAAAAAAAGTGATATTTATATAGTTTGAGCGTAAATTTCAAGAGAAGGAAAAACTGAAATTTACTAAGTAACTTGAGTAACTGGAAAAAGAAACACATTAATCAGTCCGATAACATCAGAAATATAAACAAAATGCAAATTACCTTTCACTCAAAGTTTAAAACGCACGATTCTAACTTAACTGTCTTAAACTTTCCCGCTCTTACCAGCTGGAAATCTGAAATCACTAACATTTTTTCTCATTTCTTTTTATACAAATTTCAACAAATTTTAGTAAAATTAATGGAGTAAGTTAAATTCTGACAATGCAGAGGAGAACTATCATTTAAAAACAGATTTGAAAATAAATTTCAAAACTTAATTTGATATATTTTTGTAGGAACTAATAAGGGAGAAAACGGGCATTAAAAATCATGCAACAATCCTTCTGGGCAAATTATCCCTCTGGACTAAAAATAATTCCTTTTTTTAGCATCAGATTTTTTTTAATAATTAAAATTGTGAAAAAATTGTGATAAAAATTATTATTGAGTAGTTATTCTATAATTATTATTGCGTAGTTATTATGCAATTATTTTATTGGAAGTCAACGAAACACTCGTTTCAAAATTTTTTAATTAAAGTATTAATGAGTTTTTATGTTAAGATTCAAGAAAGATTTGAATAAAAAAAAAAAAAAAACGCGCAATGATTAGAAATTTCGAATTTTTGAATATTCTAACATTCGTGGGATATGAATATCTATCCTCAGCATACTGCAGATAAATGCCGCTCCAAATTTTTATCAGATTTAACAAAGCTTGATAAAAGAATCTAAATTTGACTAAGAATATAATCTCCTTTAACAACAATTTTTTTCTTTAATTAAAAAATTTAATTTGATCGCATTAAAAATTTTTTTCCCTTTACCATAGCAACGATTTCTCTCTGAAAACAGTTCGCTTCACAAGTTACAAACACTTTTAATCTAATACACAGTTAATCATTTATTCATCAATCATATTGTTAATTAATCATTTCACTTGTCATGAATATCAGAGATAAAATTTAAATCTAAGATCTGCAACGGATGAAATGTTTCCATTATCCTCCAGATGATTTGACGAAGCAAAGCAACACACGCTTCCATTTGAAGTTCAGTAAATTAAAGTAACTGGAGGTCTTGAGCTCGCTGACAGCTTTACAGCTGTCCGGAGAATTGTAGAGGAGATAGGTCACATTTATCTCTTGCACCAATGCCTTTGACAGTATCAAAAGACCGCTGACATCACGTGGTTTTCGGACGAATTGCTTCGTCACAAACACTGATTTTAATGGCAGAAGAGGAGAAAGGAAGTCGTGTTCGAAGCTCAGAAAGCTCTTGAATTAATTTTTATTTTCTCTACAACGGTATTACAAATGCACTCAAAATAAAAAACAAAAATTTTTCAGATTTACGAAGTTTTGACGGAAATATGCTTTCTAACCATGCATAAAGTGCATTGAAGGGTATAGATGTCTATATAGTTGCATGCTTATGTTATACTTACAAGAAGCATTCATTTTTTTAAATAATGCCATAAAGTTATTAAAATATAACATAGATATTTTTGAATTTTCGGTCATCCCTCCCAAATAATACATCCACATACTTCTGCTTTCAATAAATGTTTTATTTCTGTAAAGGGGTACAGGGTCTCGATTAACACAAGAAGCAGTCCTTGATGCAAAAATTTTCCAGGCACCCCCAATGCTCACTCACACTGGTTTCCATTACAAAAATTAGGCTACTGATGTAACATGCGAGCTACCACTTTTATTTAGCTATTTGTTTCATAGATGACTTAACTGAAATGATGTTTTTAAATATGAAAAACTAGATGCAAATAACAAGAATACAGAAATGAAAATGATTCCATTAAATTACTTTAAAAAAAATCATAAAGGTTTCAGATTTTAACGGTCGCCTAAAAAGGGTTTGTTAAGATCGTTTGCGGTCTCTCTGAGCTCACAGTTAACCCAGCCTGCCGTTACATTCACTTCTATTAACTCATTTATCTTTCTGTCTTTTTAGATTTATTGTTATGCACCGTTTTCTTCGCAGTTACGCGATATATAATTCAGCAGAAAATTACAAAAATTTTAAAAGCAGCATATGTTTAGATTTCCCTATGCAGTTGGTATTTTTCTTAGTTTATAATGTCAATGTTCAGTTCTCTTAGTAAGATGGCTTACAAAACTTATTTTTTCATTTTTTTTTTAATTAAATACCATGTTCTTCGTGCTCATAAGCCACATAAAATTCAGTTCAAAAGCAAAATCACAAAATATTTAAAAATAGCATATCTTTAGAATTTCCGATAGACCTCGTTAGCTTGAAACAAGAATGTTTTATTTCGTACAGTGCTGCCACTGCTCGCTTTCAGGTTGCTGAGTTTGTTAATCGAGTACTCGTTAAAGACTTGCAAAGTATGGATTGGATAATAAAAAATTATGCTCCAGTATCACATAGTCTCAAAGATCTTCTTCAGGATTACTACGGACAGCGAGGCGTCAGAATTATTATACAGTATGTCTATTCTAAGGGAAACATAATCATAGCAGATAACCAGGTCTAGGCACCTGACGAAATGTAAAGGTATGGATATATGTAAATATCTCTAAACTAACTAACCCTTTTTGCTAATTTTATACTAACATCCCCAAAAAATTGTAAGTTGGAGCACCCAACAAAAGTAATAACTATTATTAAATCTGTTTATCTATAATAAGGTTGAAAAGATAAACAACCAAAATAGGTTGCTGTAGCAACGATCAGAATAACATGACTGACCTGTAATGCCCATTGAGAGGTGAAGCAGGCGAAATAATAATAAATATTAAAAAAATAATGCCATTCTATGAAAAATTAATTATTTTTAATTAGATAGATCATCAGTTAAAGGCATTTTTTATTATTTAAATCAATCCAATTCAAAAATAAGAAAATAATATGCTTAAGAACCGCACATGTTGCTTTCAAATTGCTTAGCTAAACCAAAGCGATTGAATTTGAAACATTAATATCTTATATTTTGTCAAATGGCAACAGACTCGAATCAAAGGTAAAATAATGCATTTATAGAGATTCGGCGCAAAATCCTATTTCGAGACTAACACCCCCTTTTGGGCCAATAACTTATTAAATTTTTAATTCCACTAAATTTAAATTGTTGCTAGTGTTAAAAAACAAAAGCAGGA